CTTGAACTTGGGGCCTCTTACTTGTTAGGCAAGGGCTCTCCTGAGTCATGTACTTCAGCCCGCAGGTTAGATCATTTTTAGATATAGTTTGTTGAAGGCATTTCAGTTTTACTCTTTAAAATGATGACTCTGGTTTCAGTGTTGGAGACTGAACCCTGGACCTTGTGCATACTGAGAGGTGCTTCTACCACTGAGCCACACCCACAGCCCTTAAACTAAAAGCCTGAAATAAAAAAAAAAAACAAAAAACAATTCTAGTTACCCTTTGAAGTCTTTTCTTCTTTTTTAACTTTAGAAAGCAAACACAAACAGCTCCTTGGTTGTATAGTTTGACCCTGAGTTCAGTTTTATTTCTACATATAAGTAATATGTAATGAAAATCTCATTATACAGAAGTATCTGGAAGACCTAGGTAATGTTTTGAAACTTCTTTCAGGTAAGATTAATGGATATATACAGCTCAAAATCCTAGGACAGCAACAAAGATATTTATTTAAGAACCTTGTTTATAGAAGGGGGACTGTCTATGTATGTGCTTAAAATAATAATACTCCTAATATCTTGCTGCTAAAAGAAAGCTGAAATCAAAATAATGAAAATATGCATGCATATATGAAATTCTGCTTACAAATCTTTTAGGTCTCAATGGCATTTCATTTATTGGCCTGAAGCAGGGACTTAGTGGGACAAGAATTCTGAATAACGTAGTTGTGAGGGCTAATTTGGGGGCAGTGAGTGCCGGGAGATGCTGCTAACAAATATGTTTTGTTTTGCCTTCTTCAGGAACAGCAATCCGTCCTGTTTCTCACTGAAGCTCCGTTTCTAATTCAAGATTGTAACTGCTCTATTTCCCCCAGCTACTCAGGTCTGTTAACTGAAGAAAAAGAGACAAAGCCGTTTCGCAGTTACTGACCCTCTGCGGCCCTCATTTCCTGTAACGAATGACCCTTCTTCCCAAAAATAACTCCAGTGCAGCTCAAGTGCTCGCGTTTGGCGCATCCCGTCTTATTTAAGAAGGCACATTCCCTGCCACAGCTGGACAAACTCAGTGTTTGCACAGAGCTGCCCCAAACACTGCTCCCTCTAGGCCTTCAAAAATGTTCAGCATCTGAGTGTTGGCAAGGAATGCTCACGCCCAGTGGAAACAAAACTCCGTGGCTTGAGCCAAGGAAAAGCAGGGATGCTATATATGGAGTACAGGAAGCAGGGCCAGAGCTGACAGCCTTACTCACATGCCCCCCATATACAATGCCTTGAGTCAGGCACTACTAACTTACCTGGAAGAGGGAAGACTTTCTGGCGAGGATTAGACCAGTGTTCTGCCACTTCCCAGCATGCCCTTAGATATGCAGAGACACACAGGGCTGCCCAATGCCTTAAGACAACCTAGTAGGCTGACGGGAACACGACCTTGGGCTCTATTTCCAAATGACGGAAAACAAGCATAAACAAAACGAAACAACAACCACCAAACATATGAACGGAAAGTTTAAAAAGCTAGCCAAGTACCCTAACACACAGGATGCATACCCAGCAGGAGCTTGTACAGCAGACAGTTCCTCTTGTAGACTGTTCAGGGCTACCACTCCACGCAGACTCCCACGCCCAAGTCAAAAACTTGTCAAATCAAGATACTTCCAGTTTTCTCTGAATTAGAGGCTGCTTTGTAGGTCATTTACTTACTTGGAGATAGAAAAAGTAGGAACTGAAAGATGGTTTCACCTTTTCTCATTTTTTGTGAAATGTCAGTAGTTCCCAGGGCTGGTTTTTTTTTTTTTTTACAGTGTGCATGGCTTTATGTTTTCATTTTTTTCCCCTCAGTGCCAGGGTGGACCTCACAGTGCTATTCTACAGAGCTATTTTTAAAAAGGAATTTTACTCTGGAGACAGGAGGATAAGGAATTTAAGGCCAGTCATGAATGCCTAATGAGTTCAGGGCCAACCCGGACTACATGAGACCCTGACTCAAAAACAAAAAAGTGGTGGCGGGGCCTGGAGAGATGGTTTAGTGATTAAGAGTACTCGCTGCTCTTCCAGAGGACCCGGGTTTGATTTCCAGTGCCCAAATGGCACTCATGATAACTCCAGCTCCTTTTGGAGACCTCAGGCATCAGGCATGCGTGCCATGCTCAGACAGACATGCAGGCAAAAAAGCTATGTACATAAATTTTTTTAAAAAGAAAAAGTATTGAAAAGGGGGCTGGATAGATGGCTCAGCGGTTAAGGCACTGGCTGTTTTTCCAGAGGTTCTGAGTTCAATTCCCAGCAACCACATGGTGTCTCACAACCATCTGTAATAAGATCTGGCGCCCTCTACTGGCCTGCAAGCATATATTCAAGCAGAACACGGTACACAAAATAAATAATAAAAAAAATTAAAAAGAAAAAAAGCCATAGTTAGGACAGAGTAACCTGTTTTCAATTTGCAAATTTGTATGCACATACAGAGGCCACCCAAGGGCAATGTTGTTAACAGAGATGGAGACATGGAGTCACCCTGTGCGTAAGTTACAAGCAAGATGACTTTTGCATTTCCCCTGTATCCTGGTCCAAGATGGAGGATTAGTCTACAATGCTGATTGCATGGGAGAGTCTGGTGCCCGGATCAATGTCGGGCCCTAAGATGGAGATTTTGGGTACAGTGACTAGAGAAGGACTATCCCTTATCTGAATAATGCGGATGATAACTGCTTCTGACTGGAGTCCTACAAGAAATCCTGACACATCTCAGCTGTGCCTGCCTTAAATATAAGCTGTCTGACATTCCAAATCTCACTACTACCCAGACATGAGCAGGACAGAAAGACAGCAAAGATGTCTAGGGGCAGCAGAACATGACTGAGGGACCACGTCAAACCTTTGAGGAATAAGAATGTGTCCAAGCTAGGATTACATCACCTCCCTAGCCTGAGACTGGGTCTGTGTCTGGCAGGAAGAATCCTGATGATTTGGAAGAGGGTGCTCTAGCACCAAGACAAATAATGTGACCACTGGCCGTGGTGGCACAGGCCTTTAACCCCAGCACTTGGGAGCCAGAAACAGACGAATCTCTGTGAGTTCAAGGTCAGCCTGGACTAAAGAGCAAGTTCCAGGGCAGGTTCTAAAAAGCTACAGAGAAACCCCGTCTTGACCCCACCCCTCAAAAAAAAAAAAAAAGGAAATGTAACTAATGAAGGACCCTGGGCAGGACAGGGACTTTTATTTAAAATTCTCTAGACAATATATTCTGAAAATGGAGGACAGGGACTTTGGCGGTCCATGTATGTTACTGTTTCCTGTACATCACTTGTCACTGAAAGAATTCTATCTCCCCTTTCGCATATTACTAAATAGGTGCAGCAACTATTGCTGGGAGAATACCAACAACACACTAACGCTACAGTGGGGGAAGGGCTTAGGCCTTGAAAAGGCAACAGGCAATTTATATTCCCTGTTCAGGAAAATATTCAACACCCCCTCTCCCCGAGGAACACAGGAACAGGGGGTTCCTGGGTGTAATATGACCTCAAACTTCTACCACTACAACCCACAACTTTCTTGCCGAAAATGGATTGTGCCCTGGATCTGTGAGCTAAAATAAATGTAGTCACTGGGTTGTTTTTGTTCGGTACCATTGGGTCTCATTAAGAGACAAGTAACTAGAACAACGCTCATACATTTTAGATAGCTAAGGAACTGCCCACCTCTTAATCTGTGTGGGTTCAATCCAGATACACTTCTGAGAGATTGCTGTATTTATCAATTTCTATTTTCTTCAGAGCTCACGACTTCCGCAGGTAACCTGGACTCCCTCAGCTCAGGCTGACCCCTGGGGGAGCAGAGCAAGTAGGCCATTTACTTTTGTGTCTCTAAGTAGCTGCTGAGAGCTGTTCTTGAGGAACTGATTTTCTTTAGAGCTGCCTGGGAAGCCTGCTTAGGATCTGTGGTGGGTTGCTACCGCCTCCTCAAATCAGACACCCACGCAGTGCAGGCCAAGCATGGATGAAGTATGTTTATATAGTAGTTTCCTGTGCAGAGGCTGGGCAAAGGGCTTAACTCTGCAGAGGTAAAGCCAATACCTTTAAAGGCAAGGGCATGGAGCTTTACCACAGAGCTGCTGATGCAGAAGCAGCCTCTACGCTCCGTCATTTACTAATTAGGAAAAACGATGCTCATTTCTTAGGCGTTAAGTTCAACAATACATTTGATTTGCTGATGGGCAATATGTAGTTTTTCCATAGTGATTATTTTTCTATTGTATTTATTTGGGCAACCCATTTTTCACTCTTCCAGAACAAAAACACTACTTCTCGGGATCATAAACCTGGCAGTGAGAGCTGACTTTCCGGCAGGGCGCCCTGCTCCTGGCTGCCCACGCCATTCAGGCAAGCTGATGGCACCTGCCCGCCACGCGTCTCTCAGAATGATGTGGCAAGTCCAAGTTTCAAGCTTCTCATTTAGATTTCTGAGACCGACTGGCTTCTTTTTACTTTTTATTTCCCCAGAGAAGAGAAAATTAGTCTGTAAACACACGATTTTTCCTTTTCATACTTGGCCTTCCTGATAGAGAATCGAGCAAAAGCAGCCCCCAGGCGGGCAGGGTGGCACAGGACGGGTGCGGGTGGCGCGAGAGTGCACCCGCAGAGTGATCGGGAAGCTCGAAAGCAGTCTGCAGAACGCTACCACCGCATCCTCCTGGACCCTCGGCTCACACATCCTCCTGGACCCCGGGATCGACGGGACACTGGCTTCGGCAGGTTCTTCCCGCCGGGCATCAGGCGCCTCCACTACCGCAGCGCCATGCCCTCTACAGAAAGGACCAGGCCGCCCGGTTCCTTTGTCTGCACCCAGCCCCACCTTCCTCCTTCCTGCCGCCTCCCCCTCCTTCGGGCGGGCGCGGCTGACGCGGCGCGGAGGAATGCGTTTCCGGAGGGAGAGAAAGGCCTGGCGGCCGGCCCGGGACAGGGATCTTCGCGGCGGAGGCGGGGCCGGCCGGCTTCCTGAGGGAGTCGGCGGCCCGAGTCTCCGCCCACGCGCTCAAGAGCCGCGGAGACCCGCCGAGCTGCCGAGGCCCGCCGACACCGCCCGAGACCAGCCGAGAAGCCGAGGCCGGCCGACACCCGCCCGAGACCCTCCGAAGGGCCGAGGCGCGCCGACACCCGCCCGAGACCCCCCGAGAGGCGGAACGCGGCGGAGCCCGAGCCGCGCGCGTGCCGGGCGGACGCTTGCGGAAAGGTAAGGCCGCGGGCGTAAGGACGCGCGGGCGTGGGCTCTGGGTAACGAGGGCGGCCTGGGCCGGACCGGACGGACTCTGCCGCGCCGCCACGTCCGGCTGCAGCTCCCCCGCCCCGCCCGGCCTGGCCTAAGGGAGGGTCTCGGGGGGAGGGTCGCGAGCCTCGCCTGTCACCCTGGGGCGTGGCGGGGCAAGGCTGGGTACGACGGGGGTCGCGGTGTCTGGAGTCCTCCGAGGGGTACCGTTCGCCCGTGACCGCCAGGCGCCTTTCCCGAGCGCCGCGCGGGACCCCGGGAACCAGGCCGAGGCGTCCGTGGTCCGCGAGGCGGTGCCCGCCTGCCCGCCTGCCCGCCCGGGGCCTCGTGCTTACCCTTTCTCATGCCTCCTAGTGACAGCCTGGGCTTATGACCGCCCTGATCCCGAATGCCATAGTGAATTTGAACTTTTAATTTGAAACCTAGCACTCAGTGGTAAAATGAGTAATAAATTATACTGTTTCCGTTTCCTCATCTGTAGAAGAGAAAAGGAACCCCTACACTAACTATAGTATTAATTGTGATACCAGGGACAGGGTCGGGCCCAGCTTCCAGCCTGTGTTTACACGTACTGACTTCACTGCAGACCCCGATCCCTGGTGGTGTCGGGACTCTTTATCTCCTTTCCCAAATGAAGACACGGAGGTGTGGGAGTTTAAGTAGTTTGGAGAGTTCATGGGCTCACCTCTAGAGCCCAACTTGAAGTAACCTCACCTAATGTAAAATAAAGCAGGTATATTAATATAGGGTATAGGTTTCTAGAGCAATGTCAGTCTAGATTTAAAAAAAAAAACAAACAACAAAACAAGACACAGTAAAATGTAAAACCGCAAGCTTAGACAATAATGCTCCATATGTATTGATACCTTTTCATTGCTTCTTGGTACATTAAAAAGACCTACAAACTTCTTAGAATGTTTTGGTAGCATTTGGAATGTTTCCTGGCTCTGCCATTCCACGTGGATGTGAAGAGGGTAGGGTGACTTGGGTTTATTTTTGTTTTTTTATTTTTGTTACTGCTTGCATAGCACAGAAATAAATGTTAGGTGAATTTTGACTAGATTTCTTTCTTGAATCACACACAGCCATTATAATAAATAGTTGACACCCTAGAAAACTGTAGAAAAGACTAAGAAATTTTAGTTGAAAGTTACCCATTACACATTTATGGACATCATGGCGAGAAGGGAAGGACTGACTTATTCTCAGAGTGATATTCAGATTTATGAGTGATTTTGATTCATTCACCAATGATTAATAACTGAAGATGATGGAATGGCAAATATACAACGGGTGAAACACCGGTTTGTAGAGTAGAGAGAGATACTAGGATGGTATTTTCTTAGGTGAGCAGAAAGCAGATTCTAGCTTATCTGTATTGAGTTCACAGTGCTACAGATGAAGAATCTGTGCTGTTGAAGTCTTTCTAGAAGGACGTGAAGCTCTGTACTGAGGTGGTTTCTTTAATTATAGTTTATAATTATTTTTATGTGTGGGTGTAGTGACAGGCATGTGTGGAGGTCAGAGGATAAATTTTCTTCCTCCATCATGTGGATTCCAGGGATTGAATAGAGGTTGCCTAGCTTGGGAAAACACGTTCATGTGCTGAGCCATCTCCTTGGCCCCGGTTGTTACCTTTTTAAAGGTTTTATTTTAATTTTGAGATTTATGTAGGTGGGTGTTGGCTTGCATGTAAGTTTGCAGTGTGCCTTGCAGCATCCGTGGACGACAGAAGAGAGTCAGATACCCTGGAACTGGACCACGGATGGCTGTCATCCACCGCGTGGGTCCTCTGGAAGAGCAGCCAGTGCTCTTAACCACCCTGCATCTATGGCTCCACCCCTCTCCCCCCACGGTGCTTTTAATCTTCAGTGTTCTATCCATGAAAAGTACAAGTTCATGGGGCTGGAGAGATGGTTTAGTTAAGGCCACTGACTACGCTTTTCCAGGACCTAGGTTCAATTCCCAGCACCCCCATGGCAATTCAAACTGTCGATAACTCCAGTTCCAGGGGGTCCAGTACTCTCATACAGACATATATGCGGGCAAAACACCAACGCACATAAAATAAAAATAAATTATTAAGCAAAAAGTACAAGTCCAGAATTAACAACGTTGCAAAGTCACTGGATTTAGTACAACCCCCACCCCCTACAGGGTTTCTCTGTTTAGTCCTGGCTGCCCTGAAACTTGCTCTGTAGACTAGGCTGGCCTCAAACTCACAGACATCTGCCTGCCTCTGCCTCTGTAGTGCTGGGATCAAAGGCATGCGCCATCACCACAGGACCCTGGGTTTGGTGCTTCTAACAACACTTGTTTCAATTTTCTCATCATCCTGACTTGAATCTGCCCAGAATCAACATCACTGAAATGAAAATGTAGTTCTATGTTGATTAATTCCAAGTATAACTGATCACCTCTCATTACTGTTATTACAAGGAAGGTTAATTGGTTTGACAGATTAACTTGAAAATTAATAAGTTTGTCCAGAATGCTTGCTGTGTAATGTAGTTCCTTTACTGTTTGGATTTTTGCTAACAAAACCAACCCTGGCTTACAGGTAGAGAGGGTGGTGTATAACACAGCATGTTGTCTGAAGAAAACCCTTTTTCTAGTGTTCTGTAAATGGACTGCTGTTCACTGTGCTGCCAGAGTAGTGAGAGAAACATGTAACTGGTGAAAGTTCAGAGGACTTTTTTCCCTCATAATTTAAATGTAAAATTTTTGATGCATCAGAAGCCCTGTTGATTTGAAGATTCACTGTGGATAGAATCCAATGTGGATATGTTAAAATAAGCTTTTACCATTTATCTATAAATTAGTGAGTTTGAGAGTTGATTATATTCATGTTTACTCTTATATTACTGTTTATTGTGACTTTGGTTATATGTTTGCAGTTTGCTTGTTGTGTGTCAGTTAGGTGGTAGTCAGGGATGTGAGGATAAGGGAGGAAAGAGGAAGCGAGTCTTCTGGATTGGGTCTGGAGTGATAGTGATACAGACTCAGGAAGCGGAAGTGTGCTGACAGGTTAGCGACTGCAGCAGGTAGGAGAGGGTGGTTCAGGAGCTAACTGCCTGGGAAAGAACGAAGCTCTCCTTTGTAAACGTCACAGTTTGAGGACTTTGTTTTTGGTGTGTGGCTTTAGAAGATAATAATTATCTTCTAAATACCAGTATGTCTAGCACGCATGTCATCATGAAATGTGCACATGGGAAAAAAGACTCCTTCAAATTTACATCCTACGTTAGCAGGCTGTCTTAGATAGAGTTTCAATTGCTGTGATGAAACTCCGTGACCAAAAGCAAGTTGGGGAGAAAAGGGGTTATTTGACTTTCATGTCCATGTTGTTCATTATTGAAGGAAGTCAGGACAGGAACTCAAGCACGGCAGGAATCAGGAGGCAGGAGCTGATGCAGAGGCCGTGGAGGAGGGCTTTATTGGCTTGCTTCCCCTGGCTTGCACAACCTACTTTCTTACAGAACCGAGGACCACCACCCACAATGGGCTGGGCCCTCCCTGGGTCCTCCCCCTCCCCATCAATCACTAATTGAGGAAATGCCTTAAGGCTGGGTCTCTTAGAGGCTCAGCTGAGGCTCCTTTCTCTCTGACTCTAGTGTGTGTCAAGTTGACACATAAAACTACCCAGTACACAGACACAAATACATACATACCTGTTTGCATATACTTGCATGTACATACTATGCAATAATTTTATGAATATAAGAACATATGGGTGTGTATACATGCATTCCTTACCTACAGAAGCAGTCTCATTATACCAAGGCTTCAAAATACAGGTTTCTATGCCCAGGGAGATGTGAAATGACTCATCGGACTCTAAGGAAGAATATTTTAGATACTGCGTTTATAGCTTTTAAAAGTTCAAAGTGTTTATCGTGATGAATAATCTTATTGTATTGCTATAGAAATTCATGTATTTTAATTTATAAACAATGGGCATGCGGATACTCCAAAATTTTTTGGTGACAAAGGTGAGACTCAGAAACTTAGAGATCCCAAGTGGTAGCAGCGGAAACAAGAATTACTGTGTTTAGGAAGGAGAATTGGTGAGACGGGTCCATGCTGACAGCTAGCTAGGTGGAGGCGGTGTGACCACAAGAGGGTAGGCTCTACAGTGCTGAGCTTTTGAAAGGTGACCTCGAGCCTGGGATTGGGAATTATTCATCGTCAATACTGGCTGATAGTGTAGGTTGCAGATAAAAACACCAGAGTGTAGAGCAGAAAGGGGGTCGTTCACTTTCCCAGTTTCTTCGCCAGCCATTTTAGAGAGTGGGTAGGGATATGTCGGGTTTCCTAGCAATTAGTGTGTTTAAATTAAAGACTAGCTTGTTTTTACATCCCTTCCCTAGAGCAGTGATTACAGCCCCAGTTTGGCTTAGAAGTGTCTTCTCTCTGGGAAACCCTGGTTCCAAAGAAGTCTCTGACTCAGGATTTCTGGATGCCTTTGGAACTCCACTCCCTAGGACTTTGGTTTCACACCTGCACTTCGCTCTCACTTTGAGATGAGAGGCAGTTGCTGCTGGATCTCAGGTCTGCAGGATACAGTCTTTTGTTCTTTCATGAGAAACCATTTTCTTTAAAATTAAAAAAAAATTTTTAATTATCTGTAGATGTGTGTGTCTGTGCATATGAGATCGTACACTGAATGCAAGCTCCTTCAGAGACTAGAGGCTTTAGATTCCCTGGAGTTGGAGTTAGAGATGGTTGTTAGCCAGCTGATGTAGCTGTGGGAACGGAAGTTGGGTTGTGTGGAAGAGCAGCGTGTGCTCCTGACTGTCGAGCATCTCTCCAGCCCCGGGCAACCATTTTCCTGTGTCATCATAAAATATAAATGTAATGGAAATGACTGGGAAGAACTTGCAGTGCTGCTTAGTCAGATCTGCTATGGCCAGTCCGTCGTCTGCCTGTCCTTACTTGTGCATTTAGCTCATCAGGGTACTGAGACT